AGATTTATTCCCAAGGAACAGGACTCAAGGAATCCTATGAAAGACAAGTTCTTGTGCCAGAACTACATCAAGGGCGTTTCTTCTGGTATGTCACATGTGGTTGGTGTCCAGGGACATCACCCTGACCACCACAAGCTGCCAAGGCTTTCCTGCTGCATGGGAGCAGCGATTGCTCTCGGAGCATCTTGGCAGCAGTGCCCTGGCTTTGCCATCACTCCCTTCTCTGTATTGCATCTTCCTGCAGGAACACCCAGCTGCTTTCACCTCTCCTCTCTGAGCAGCTGAGGCGAGCAGAAATGTGGCTACAGCGGCTGGAGACTCTCCTCCCCATGCACATTCAGCTACTGCTATAAACAGAGAACCACCTACTACTTTTGGGACAGAAACAATTCTACAATGAGCTGCACAGATACACAAATTAAACACTCAGACCTGGTCACTAATTCCACTTCTAATGAAGAGACAAACTCCTTCACAGATCAGCTTGTGCTCTGGTACCGTCAGACCCAACAAAAAGATGCCAGCAACTCCACCTGTTTCTAATTCAGTAACAGAAGTACTTCAGTATTTACAAGCTATTCATTACAACTTACTTTTTCCAGATTTTGTTACAGATTTTATAAGATCAATGGTTTACCCTAAACAATTAGTCACAGCCTGCACAAAACTAATACTCTATCCTTACTTTAATCATGTATTATGCAATACCAGGATGAGATTTTAAAAAACAAACACATTAGCAAGATTTGCCTTTAAATTTTCACTCCCCAGCTTGATGGTAACAAGTTCTGCCATTCTGCTCAAAAGCAATAAGAAACTGTACTTTTTACCAGAATGTGAGCCTGTCCGAAAAAGCTACAATGACATTTTGAGAACTTGTGTTTATTGTCAAAATAACTACAGATAGTTTAAGTTTTCAAATGGTATTAACTTCTTCTATTTGTCCTCAGATCCAACTCGGAGCTGTGGCTCAAGCTAGGCTTACTCCTGCTGGTCAGAGAGACCAGCTACCTCCTCTGATATTGATGTATACACACATATTCAGAAATATTAAGCAAGCTGTCAAGGAGAGCTGCATGCTGTGCCCACGGGAACACAACGCTCCTTTTCCTGTTCTCCAGCAAAAGGTTGTTTTTAGAATGAAGGTGATGGGGACACCAAAAACTACAAACAAACCAGGACCAGGGAACAGCAGGTTACCTTCACGCTGCTGATCTGATTCCAATCACAAACTGTTTGCAGACAGGACGTGCAGCTTTAACTGGAGGGCAGCAGCATTTCTCCAGGGATTTCATCTGCATTTACTGCCACAGTACGAGGGGCTGTTTTCTCTCAGCACTGCAACTCCCTCCCCATCAAACATGGGCCCATCTACTGCCACACAGCAAACTGAGGCAGCAATGTCACGCCAATTCCACAGCTTCTTTAGGAGTCATGCCAGCCTTTACTAGAGAAAAGGGTTAATGTTCAGCTGCGTGCCTCGCAGGTACAGTCTCCAGCGAAGAGCCCCGTTTGATACCTGTAGGAAGCTGCCATTTTTGCATCTCATATTCCATTTGTGAACAGACCTTTTTGTTCTTTAATCCAAGTTCTGAATTATTTAATCCTGTCTTCAACACTTGAAACATCTTTCCCTATAAACAAGGGTTATTTAGCGAATGGAAATAAATAATTTAAAAAGTCAGACCCTAAAGTGTTCCTGGCTCTGTTTTTAATTAATATTGATACAATCTGGAGAAACCTGCTGCTTAATATTACAAGGCAGGTCGAAGCTCATCAACAGTTAAACATCTCCTTCTAACAGAAGGTGGAAGAGGAAGTTGGGAGCAGCGCTGGCTGCCAGCGATCCGGGACTGCCCAGTCCCAGCTCCTCACAACTTTCTCATGCACAGAGAGCTTCAAAGCCCTCACACCCTGAGCTACACGAGCTGGAGTTCTGCAGGGCTCAGGTGGAATTGTGTTAAGCATAAATCCTCCAGGCTTTTGTGCTGGAACAGAGAGTACGCGGAAGTATTTTTATTTTCTACAATTCCACGCTCGGAATACGTCAGTGCAAGTGAAGGACGGGGACAGAGGGAGGCATGGACAGCTCTGTGGGACTGAACTTCATCCCTGGGAATGATAGATTTTATACCACATTGCTTCATCTGCAAGTGGGAGTAAATATTACACTACCTCTTCACGCAGATGGGTGGGTTAAAAAAAAAAAAAAAAAAAAAAGCTAATTTGAAACAAATTAACTATTCTGCATAGGGAGGAAGGTATTCTCCCTCTCCCCTGTCACTCCAGGGCTCTCTGCAGACAGAGTGCATGCAAAGTTAACAAACTCTGTGCTGCTCACAGCCTGCCTGGTGAACCTGCCAACAGGTGAACAGCCTCAATCCGCAGCACGGATAAATAATCACCAGTCCTCAAAAGCAGGTAATGAATATTGTTCAAACAACTCTAAGCTGGCGTTACCAGAATGCTTCAAAGGAGAAGCTACAAGCTGTTCAAGTCAGACTGTCACATTTAGTCTGCAAAAACGAGATTAAGGTTTGTACAGTGATACTCCACAACAGGTTTTACAGTATGCACAGAAATTAAATTATGATAAAAGTGAGCTATTTTTTACTAAAAACAGAATAGAACAATCTATCAAAATGCCATTTGGCTGTGTTCATTACATTTTAGAATTTAATTTACATGATAGATACTTTAGCATAATATGTTTTAATCAATAAGCATTTCTGAAGGCTTTATTTTTATAGGCAATATTTAGACTTGTTCAGTGTTAAATGTAACACCACGGCATCGATGTTCAGAGCGTTTATTTTCCTATGCTAAGCAAGTGCAGCCACACGTACACAGAGGCAAAAGCAAAAGTCCACAATTAGAGATGTCAGACCTTGTTTAACTACATCTTAATTTAATCCATTTTATTTTATACAATTCTACATCTGGATCTCGTTTTCTGTATTCCTGTAGGTATTCCGGGTCACTATTAAGAACCCTTTCAAGTTAGCAAAGTTCAGCCAAGTCTACCTTAATCCAAAACCTTTAAAAGAAGCAATAAAACGCGAAAGGGGGTGGAAGACGACAGAGAAACCTGAAACAAAACGCTACTTTACCCCACCTCCTAATGCACCTGAAAGTCGGAAGGGACCGGCCTCCCTGCACAGATCCCACGCAGCACTTCCCCTTTCGGGGGCTGCTGGGGTGGGAGTTTTGAATATTATATATATATCTATTATATGGCTCCCGCACGCCCGGCCGAGGGGAAGGGAGGGCGCAGGACCCGGGTCCCGCTGCCGGCCCCCCGGCAGCATCCCCTCACCTCCAGCGGGAATGCAGCTCTGCCCAGCATCAGCGCACCATCCCTCCGCCTGCCGCAGCCTCCGGCCGGCTCCAGCGCCGCCTCCGCGGGGGCCAGGGTGGGCAGCCGCCGGCTTTCGAGCCAATTTATTTAAACGGGAGGCAGCGGCGGCTTTGGAGAGGCAGGGCAGCGCCTTCCTGCGCCAATCAACTGGGAGACACGCGTGTTGCAATCCCATTCACGGCGGGAGCAGCACCGATACAGCGTCTGACAACCCCCCCGGCCCGCCCCGGCCTTATCTGTAGCCCGGCAACTCAATTAAACCGTGGGGCCGCAATTCCCCCGGGGACGCTCCCCCGGGCCAGCGGGAGGGAGGCCGGTCTGCGAGGACTTTCCCTCGCAGGAAACGGCACTTCTGGGCTCTCCCGAGCCAGCACAGTAAAGCATCAATATTCCGCTCATCTGTCAGATCCTGGACAGCAGGAGAGGCTGGAGAGCCCGTGAATTATGTAACGTGCCCTCCCGCCGCCGCGGGGAGATGCGCCGCGATGCGCCCCGCCGGCCGGGACGGCCCCGCGCCCCTCCCCGCGCCCGGCGCTGCCGCTGCCCTCCCGAGCCCCCCTCTCCGCGCACCGGGCGCTCGCCCCTTCCCACCCCGCGGGACCCTCCGCCGCTCGCTCCCTCCCTGCCGGCCGGTCCCCGCCGCGTCCCCTCCCCTGGCGGCCCGGCGCGGTGCCCGCGGCGGTCGCAGGGCGGCGGCCGGAGCCCCGCGCCCGGCGGAGCGGAGCGGAGCGGAGCGAGGGCCGGCACCCCGCGGCGGCGGCGGGGAGCGCCCGCCCGCCCGGCCGGCACCACAGCGCCCCCAGCCCCCGCCGCTCCGCGCCTGCACCGCCAGCCCGCCCGGCGCCCCCACACAAAGTCCCAGCACTCGGTAAACTTTCCCCGGCTCCCGGCGGAGGAAAAGCGGCGGGGACGCGGCGGCGGAAAGGGGGCAGGCGGCGGGGAGGGAGAGGGAGGAGGCGGGCGGGCGATGAGCGGCGGCCGCCGGGAGTCCCGCCGCGCCCGCCGCCCCGCACGGCCCCGCCGCCGGGGGGGAGCGCGGAGCGGGGAAAGAGCAGCCCGGGACGGAGCGGGCGAAGCGGCGGCAGCCCCGGCAGCGGCGGCTCCGGCGCCATCTTGGGCTGATCGATGAATTGAACAAAGAGGATCAATTTCCGATGGGGCCGGTGATCGATGGCGGGGGGGGCGGAGGGAGCGGAGCGCCGCGGCCGGGCGGAGCGGGGGGTTCCCTTTAGGCGGCGCGGGCCGGCAGCGGGAGGAGGAGGGGGAGGCCGGGCCCGAGGGAAGGCGGAGAAGGGAGGGAGGGGGGGGGTCCGGCGGCGCGGCCCGGCCGGTGCGGCGAGCGGGGGAGCCTGACCTGCAGCTGCTGTAAATCAAAGCGCTTCCAATATTGAAACATCGATCCCACATTGGCCGCCATCTTGAGACATATTGAGACAGAGTGAGCGGCTGATAGAGAGAGAGGGGCTGGAGTTCAGGAGCCGGGAGGGAGGGGGAGGGAGGGAGGGAGGGAGAGAGGGAGGGAGCCGGCGGGAGGGGGGAGGAGGGGCGGGGGGGCAAGGGGGAGGGAGGCGGGCAGGGAGCGCCCAAATCCCGGCCTGGAGCCCGCCCGGAACACGGACTCAGCCCGCGCGTTCGCGGGGGGGTGGGGGGGGAGGGAAGGGGCACCGCGGCCGCGCAGTCACGGCGACCCCGCACCCGCGGGGACAGCGCGGAGAGGGACGCGGGACACGCGGGGACAGCGCGGGCGACGCGGGGACAGCCGCGCCGCGCGGGGACAGCGCTGCGGGGGATGCGGACGCGGCCGGGCGCGGCGGGGATGATGCGGGGCGGTGCGGGAGGGGTGCGGGTTGATGGCAGCGCATCGCCCGGCAAATGGTGCCCGGAGCGGCGGCGGGGGGGAGCCCGCCCGGGGAGCCGCGGGGCTAAAATTAGCCAAGTGCAGAGAGTTTAGGGGAAACAACAATGAAAAAGTGCATCGGGGGCAGCGGGTTCCCGGTGTCCGGGGCGGTCCGGGAGCGCCTGGAACGGGATTTCTTCAGCGCGGACAGGCGCTCCCTGCCAGGGCCGGTGCCGCCGGCCGCTGCCGAGGGGAGAAGGATCGCACGGAGGTTGGAAAATCAGATCCCAGCCCCGCGCAGGATAGCCATAGAAACGGAGATTAAAAGGATGAAATAACTTATTTTGTTCTAAACAATGATGCTGCTATAAATACGAACATTTTCCTTGTTCCCTTCCTGAAAAGCACAGAACATTTTAGCAGGCTCGTCTCCTAACAAAACAAACCAGCCTGCAGATGCCTTGCACCCCTCGAAATTATTCCGTTTTTACTGGGAAATGGGTAAACCCACGGTCTGTACCTGTCCCCTCTGGAATCAATAAGCTGCACAATATTTTTCCAAATACAGCTACTTTCGCTGTTTTGCACTTCATCTGTAAAAGGAAAATATCTCTTCCCCCCCCAAGTGAGCGATTGTAGATTTTTTCTCAAATTGTATTTGATCACCGAGTGAATTTAGTGCTCGCTCAAGTCCGTGGGCTGACTGCTTGGAAATGGCTCTGCCTGTCTTTGGAGAAGTTAGGCAGAGACAGCAGCAGAGCAATTGCCACAGATTATTTCCCAATCTGCTGCTGGCCTCCTTTGGAAGAGCACCATCATTTCAGCCTCCATTTCCACTTTTTGCTGAGGCTGCTGCTTACAAAGATACTAATTGCGATGGCGGGTTTTATGTTAATGGGTTCCACGTAATGATCAGCCCGACGACTACAGACCTTCAGACTGTTGGTTGGCTGTGCTGGGAATAAAACTAATGGCATTTGGTTATGAAAATTCAGACCTCTACATGGTGATCTAAACTGGGGGCCCAATGAGACCGAAATCCAAGTCTCCATGCGACTGCCGTGGGGCTGGACCCAGGGATGCCCTTGGAGAAGGAAAATTCCTTCTCCCCCAGAACTGCTATGCTTTGAGGGAGGGTAGTTTCTTGCTGGGATGATGCTGGGAGAGGATTGGGGTGCCTGGCTGGGGTCCCCCCTGGTCTGGGGAGAGGGTGTGGGGTGCTCAGAGCGACAGCCGGGGATGGAGCAGGGATGGAGCTGCACGAGCCTCCAAATTCTGACTAACGCCGTAACCGGTTTGGTAGCTCTAAAATAGGATTTTAATCCTGGGAAGCATCATTTCACATTCCAGTGATCTAATCAAAATCCTTTCCTCTAATCTCTCCATGGTCCCCCCTTTCTAGATGAAAGAGGCTGGAGTTCCTGTCTTCACCCTTTCTCCGCTGCCTCCCTGTTCTACCAGTCTGTTCTGTGTCCAGGCAACTGCAAAAAGACATTTCAAAGGCTCCTGCCGTGCCATGTAGATGTTTTCTCTTGTTAGTTTGGACTGCAGGTGTGTAAGCCTCGAGGATGAAGTATCGTGGTGCTGTTTTAGGTTCGGGGCACACAGGCATGGCACAATAAATCACATAGGAACGCTCCGCTTTGAACGCGCGCGCACAGAAAAGGGAAAAGAAAAAAAGCATCTGACCTGAATCATTTTCTGGAAACACATCTGGTTAAAATCCAAAGTTTTAAATTGAGTAATATTTTAAAATACATTTGGTAGGTATTAAATTACAGTGTTATATCTGGTAATATTTATGATACTAATGTGTTAAGCGGAGGTTTATATCTGTCAAGAAATATGAATGATTGTCATATGGGGTAACAAATGAATCCTGATATAAATAACATTTTATGATATTTTTAACATTATCGTAGTCTTTTTTTTGCAGAAGTTACATTATTGCGAATTTGAAATAAAAGCTCTGTGGCTGCCTACCAAAGCTTTTAGCTATGTAATTTTGAATAAGTATAAAGCAGTACAGCTGATTTGGGGAATTACTGAGAAACCTTAACTCTGCCGGAAGACAAATGCTGAGCACCTATAATTCCTATTGTCTTCCTGCAGGATCAAGTCCCTCGTTTGCCATTTTGTGTGGCAGCAAGCCCAAGGAAATCTTGCTTGACAGCTCTGTTTTCTCAAAGTGCTGCATTTCTTCGGGCTGGATTCTGCAAAGATCCTGCAGGCTACAGAGCTCCTTGGAGCAAGCCATAATGTGCTTTGTGTCCCTGCTGAAATGTACCTGTGTACAGTGGGAGAGGGAGCTTGGAAAACTGGGTGCACCCTGCCAAGAAGATGGTTAGAATAAAGTTTTCTTGGGTTATTATGTTTTGAGGAATCATTCTCATCTGTTCGTTTGAGGAAGGTTTTCCTAAAGTTAGATTTGATCTGTGTAAATGCTAACTTCTTTCAATGGGCACTAATAGAGTACTGAAAAAAAGAAGCACAGTGGATTTGAAGTTTAAATCTCAAATGGTGGCAGCAGCTAGTACTGCTTCGTACATCCAAAATAATTTTTTAAGTATGTTGTACAGATTTCTTTTGGGGAATTGGGTGAAAATTACATTAAAATTTGTTGCCTCTTAATGTTGTAAGATCTCACTGATACAGCTCTTTAATGAACATATTTGCACTTTGGACCATCACAGAAAATTGTGATTCTTCATGTCATCATCTGGAATACTGAGGAAAATGGATCTTTATTCCAAAGGTCCCAAACTGGTTGGGAGCAGTTCCTTGGCACAGCTGCTCCCCTGGGCATCAGTCTGCATTCCTGAGGCTGTTTTGGACAATGAGTCCAGTATTGATCACTGGACTTGGGCTTCTCTTTGCCTTAATGAACTTGGTTGATTTTCTTGGCCAGGACACTGAAAGATGAGGTGCTGCTTCTCCCACCACCTGCAACTTTTGGATCTCTTCTCCAAGAATTCTTGTGGGTTTTTCCTTCCATTTTCATGTAAACGGACTCTCAAATTTCTATCAGTGCCCCTGAAAGAGTTCCTCAAGAGCCTTCTCTGTACCCTGTCTGCTCCTTGTCCAGCCCCTTCCCTCCTCACTTCATGGCTCTCATCTTTGCATTTTATTCAGCTAATTCTTGTCCCTGGCTGCCTGTGCCCACTGGAAAGGAACTCCTCATTCCAAAATCCCAGCCCTCTCCACTGTGGAAGTGCCCTTCTGTTCACCTTAAACTGGATTTGGGATATCCTTTACTGCTCTGTGCCATTGCACAGCAAGATTCCACAGGAATGGCAGGAAACAGAGACAGCCAAACAGATAATTTATGTTCCTGGGAGATTTAGTCCAAATTAAGATCAAAACTCATATATGTCTTCCAAATCACAGAGTATTTGTCCCCAATTATTGTCAATGACTCTAATTCTGCTTGATTTATATCTCTGGTAGTAGCCAGAGGTTTTGCAGCACATAAATTGCCTGAGGGTTTTGCCAGTGATGTGGACACTGTGACATGTAGAAGCTCAGGAAAGCCCCTGAGCAGAAAATGGTTGGAAACAGGTAAAATATCAGGGAGAAGTATCCCCCATGTCTGCACACAATTACCTGGGTGTCCAGCTGTGGTCACTCAGCTGGATGGACCCTTGTTTTCTCAACCTACATGGCAATTCCCACATTCTTTGATAAACTGGGAAAGTTCTAGCAGAAATCATATAGATGGCAGCACACATGATCCAAGCACAAACCCCTGTGATTTCTGTGAGCACTGCACAGCCACAGATACACTCTGGCAGGTGGAAGAGAAGAAAGCAATCCTCACAGAGGGCAGGGAAAGCAGCCACAATTTAAAGCAAAGTAAATTTGTGTGGTGTGGTTGCTTGCTGGTTAACTCTGGAGAGATTTATGAAGATCCAGCATAACCCACAACAGATCTTCCTTGAGGATTTGTGGGTTAAGCCACACCAACACAAACATGGGATGGCACTGCATGTGCAGCAGGAGTTACTGAAGACCCCAAAAGAGCTCCCACAATATTTCTCTCAAATAGCTGTTTTCTCACTGAATGTTCTCACTGAGTCCAGATGCATGGTGGTATTTTGGCCAACATCTGGAACAGCAAAAAGAATTAGAGGAGGAAAGGATCTATTGGGTTATGCATTCCCTGGAGCCAGGGTGAGTAAATTGGATACTGAATTTCTCTCAGGGTATGGTTCACCCTGGTTTTAATCCTTGCCTTCTCATCCTATATCCCATGTACAGGATGGTACCAGGATTTTGTTGGATGGGAGGCACATCCAGTCTTTTCTGGCCTCATCCTCCATGCAGCACTCTACTCTCAGACTTAGGCTGGTCTTGAATAGGGAATTTATCTTTTCTACCCTCTGAAGCAATCAGCAGACAAGTTAGTAGGTTACGTTCCCAGGAAAAATTCCCACCTTTTTTCTCACTTGAAAACTTCCATGTTTTTTTACCTTTTACTGGTTTCTCTTAGTGGTTTGGGGGTTGGGTTTTGCACATCTTTTTTTTTTTTTTTTTTTTTTTTTTTTTTTTTTTTTTGTGGTATTTAACTTTTGCTATTCCTATCATGAACCCTCACCCACTTCATGCAGCCACTTCCTCACTTCAGGTTCTTGCTGTTCCCCTCTCCCTCCCTGCTCTGGTCCATTTTGACTGTGCTTTCTCTTCCAGTAACCCTGTCCCAGCCAGGTATTTCTCCCAGTTTGTGCTGAATCTTCAGCTCCAATATTCTACATATTACTTTAGAATAAGGATCTGAAGCCTCCATTATTAGTTTAAATGCCTTTTTGTGTTCCGAACCTCACCTGGGTCATTCTCTTTGTTTGTGCCTCTCTCCCAGTGGCAGCAGAGCTGGTTTAGTGCTGGGGACAGCAGCTGTGGCTGGCTGCTGGCACAGGGCTCTTCGTGACATGAAAGGACTCCCTGCATCCTCCCTCAGTTTCTCCATTCTGCACAGACCAGTGGGCACTGCGAGATCAAAATCTCGTGGTGGCTGTGGGGCACCTCAAGGGTTGCTGGGCAAAGGAGGAGGAGGAGGAAAAGTACAAATAAAGCAGCTCAGAGCTGCTCCCTCACCTCCAGTTCCCCTTTCCTTTCTTTCCACAGAAGTGGCTGAGTGCAGAGCTGAGCTACCCCGGCAAAGGAAAGAGAAGAAAGGTTTTTCTTTCACTTTCCAAACACAAATACTTCACGTGGGACTTGAGAAGGGAACATCCTTTTGCTCCTCTCCTCCAGCTGGGCTTTCTGGTCCCATTGTCCCCCCACGGTGGTCATGCCCCTCGGTCCCCCATGTGCACCTGAATTGTGATCTGTGGTGGTTTGGGTGTCTGAGGTCCTCCAATAATGAGGGTGAGGTTTCATTTGGGGAAGCACATCTTTTCTTAGAAATGTGAACACTGTGACTGACTTAGCACAACTGTGATTTTCTGCAAACACAACTGTGTTTGGGGTGGTTGCATGCGAATGCTGGGGAAGGAGAAACAGTAATTCTGAATTAATGCACAAAGGGAGAAAATAGACACCCTTAGAGGAAGCCCTGAGTTCACTGCAGCTGCCATACACTGGCAAAACTGATGCTGTGTCCCAGGGGAAGCATTTCAGTGTGGAGAACCTCGTGTTTGAAGAGAGCATACCTGTGCCTGTTGTGACACACGAGTGAGCCAAAGTGCTTGGGGGAGCACATCAATCCATTCTTTCTTTAGTAACATGTATGCAATAAATTGGGTTTTTTCCCCCCTGGTGTTGCATCATTTCCTATTTGGTGTCCAGATGGTGACAGATTACCAAACAGGGGGGAAAAAAAAATCCATGTAATATTTTGTATCTAAACATTACCTTCTTCTTTAGAATAAAGAGATCCAGTTTTATTCTGGCCATGATTCTCCACATTTATGTGCTGGCCCTTGTCTGCATCTGCTTGGCATTATCCTGGATTGGGGCTTTAACCTGCTATGAATCCAGAGAAATTATACAGAATTGATGGGATCAGTGTGAATTTCCAGGGGTGTAGGCTAGTGCAGACTACATCCTATTAATCTTGTTGTGTTCTTTCTGTAAATAACAAGCTGGATTCAGCCCAACAAGAGTAAAACAAATTGGAAGCATTCATAAAGAGAAGTAAATGACTTTAAGATGTAAGAATAATGTATTGGTGGGTTGTGTCCAAGAATCCAGTTTTTAAAGGTACCAAAGCACACACAAAACTTTAGTTTAATTTGTTCTTAAGTGGCTGCTGTGTGGGGCTGGCTGCTGAAGCAGGGCCATGGGCATAAGACCTGCTTTCATGAAAGGATTATATAAAAAAGCAAAAACTGCAAGAAGGAGAAAAATGTTCAAGGGCAGCCAACCTGGAGGAAACAAATATAATTTAGTTGTGTGAAGTGTTTATAAATGCAGTTTATGAACATGTATGAAGGAGTAATTTTTTACTTTTCAGAGTGCAATTGTAACAGAAAAGAAACAGTTGCTTATGTCCTTTTCAGGGATTTTTAGAGAATAATTTGCAGTGTAGTATTTTGACCTGCTTTTTCCTGTTTAACAGCTTGTTATTCTGTTGGTTATTTCAGATTAGCTTTTTGTGAGTGCTCTTCTTTATTTGTGATTGATAGGAAAATATTTACATGGTTTATCTAAAACTGGAAATTGATTTTAAATTTTGTTCAAAGTTTCAGACTTCTACATGCATGGGCTACCAAATTTGATCTACCAGTCTCACTCCTTGGTTCTCTTGCATCATCAGAATAAATGTCAAATGACACAGAATGCCTGGAATTGCAATAATGCAGTGAAACAGATCTGACTATCAAGCTTCATATATAGATTAGATTAATGCATAAATCTAATTTGATATTTTACATTACTGGCCTAATATTTTACAGATGTAATGCCAAGTTGTTAAGTAAACGAAAATCACAGAGAGTCCAATTCTGAAAGGATTACTCAGGCAAAAATCCCTGCAGTCAGAGGGAGTATTGCCTAAACGAAGTCTGCAAAATTAGAACTAGAGCCATATTCCCCAAACAGACAAGCAGATTTATCTGTGAGATCTGCCCAGGAGTTGAATTCTTGTAACAATGAAAGATATATAGGGAAAACGAGCAAGTAGGTAACCTGAAATATAAGGAGAGACTGATAAGATCTGAGCAAGCACTTGTGTGGTTGGTGATGTCAACAGGAGCCCAAGCTGTTTTAATAAACTTGTTCATAGTTGTCCTATAGTGTGTTTTATATCCTGAAGTACATAGATCATGTAAGAGTTTAACAAGAAGAGGATTCATATTAAATATGCACATAAAATACCTCCATGAAATATGTGAAATACTTTTCGTTTTTTATATGATTCCAATAAAACATCTATCACAAAACTCTGCCCTCCTGCTTCTTCATATCCAGTTTCAGCTGTGGCTTTGTGTTTAGAGTTGGAGCTCATGACACTTGGCAGATATAATTGTGGGGCACTTCTAATTGGTGAAGAAAGACCCTGGCTCTGCTTGCTCACTCGGGGGGTATAAATCAGGAGGAACCCCAGCAGAGCTGGTGAAATGTTGCATCTCTGCAAGAGGCTGTTGGGCCAAGTGATAGAAATGCTTGCAGCTCCTGTGGAACGTGCATACAGCTGCTCAGGATCTGCCCCACTGGCTCGGGTGGAGCAAAGCCAGGGATGATTCCTGCCCTTTACCATGAGTTTTGCTCAGTGTCTTGCACTGTAAATTCTCCTGAGTTTTGCTGCCAAGCTCAGCTCCCTCCTTCACAGTTTCATACTCTGAGTGTGAACTGATACTGGTGGAAATCCAAGGGTAAAAAAGTGGTGAGTATAAAGCACAAATCTGTAGCCTGGATCTGAGAGGAACAGCTTGACCACAGAGGAAGTTATTTGCACAAAAAGTATTCAAACAGATACGCACGGTTTACATGTGTTTAGTAAATCTTGTCTGAAAACCAGAACCAGCTGTATGGTGTGTGGAGGCCCCGATCCCAGCCCCTCCTGAGCACTGTTTTATACATGTGGATGATACATTTCCAGTCATTTTTTCCATCTTTTAATTTAGGGACTGAAAGACGAGGAGAGTGATTTCCTGCAGTGCTTGTCAGCATCCTCAGGTAGCTGTTCAGAGCCCTGCTTGGGGAAACATCCCTCCACACCTTTCCCTCCTTCCCTCCACCTGCAGCCACCAGCACAGGTAGGGCACAAACCCCCCGTGGGAGCTCAGGGGTATGAAAGTAGCTTTTCATGCCAGGCTTGCCATGATCCCATGGCATTATCCTACATGACAGCAGCAAAATCGATCGAGCCACTCGGGTTCACTCCTAAATGAGAGATAAACCAGGCCTGAAAGCTAAATTTGCATGCCAGATTAAGAAAGTTGTAGATGCAAGCAAGATCTTTTTCCTTTTTTTCCCCCCTTCTTTGTGTGTGTGTGTGTATGTGTGTGTCTAACTATGCAACAAATTTTGTAGCTGAAATTTACATACTTCTTGATTCATGAAATTATGAGCAGCTGCTATTTTGCTACATTCTTAAATTGAAAAGGCAGCGAAGAAAAGAACAGACACATTAGGCAAACTCCATCTGCCCCTCATGTCTATCACTTCCCTTCACTCTCTCCTTTGCCAAACAGGATACAATGGCATAATCAGATGTCTTGGTTTGCCTGGGAGAGTCCCCAAATTCATATAGCTGTCACCTAAGATGGGATTTTTGTTTTTCAGACAACTTCTTGACATGGTCTCTCGTTCCCCCCCTGAAATGTGGATACATATTTACAGAGGAAACAGCAGAGCACAAAAGAGCTGCAGGGAGAAAATAACCTTCAAGATGGTTTACAGGCTTTTGGAGGTTCCTGGAAGTCTTCAGAGATCAATCTTATGGACCTAAGGGTCATTGAGAATTAAGAAGCTTTCCTTTTTTTTTTTTTTTCTTTTTTTTCCCTCCTATCTTTTTATTCAAATTACAGCATGGAAAGATTTTGGGGTGAGAAAGTAAAATACAGGAGTCAAAAATAGAACAAATGGGGTTCACTGCTACCCTTTGCCATGACTCTGAGCAAATCCAATCTACAGGTAGCTCCCTGCTTGTAGAGAGGAGCTCTCTTGGGAGATGAGAACTTCTATTCTAGAAGTCTGGCCCTTACTTCACACTAAACGCCACTTTACAGATCATAACACTACATTTCATCATGATGCAAATATTTTAATTTTCCAGTTTTGAATTAAAAGATGGAAGCTTAGAATTTTAGACCTATTTAACACCTGGTTAAACACTTAACAAACTAGTAACAGCTGAGTGCATCCCTGTTAAGTGGAGTTTTTTCTTTTTTGTTGCCCCACTTAAGAAACAGTCATTGTCATTCAGTCTCATTAACATAAATAGGTTCCCTAGGAGATGTCCCATTAAAGTGGCCATCCCTATTAAGCATGTCCCAATTAAGTAGTGTTTATTGTATGGCAGGTTCCAGACCTCAAAGCAGAATAATTTTCAGTTCCTAGAGGGAAAAAAATAAGTCAAAGAAATTACATATTTTAAAAAGGCTTAAATTGATACAAACTGATAAGAGCCCAAAAATGAAAAATGAGGGCTGACACTTCAGCCTTTTGTTTACCCTGTAATGCTGCTTTTCTGGTTTTGAGTTAAGAATGTAGCCTACACCCTAACTATGAATTTCTTGGCTTTGATTTGATTGTGTCATAACTTAATGTTTTATGACTTACAATCACATTAGTCATAGGAGTCACTCAAGTTTAGAGATGATGGAAAAGACATAGGGGATAGACAAATCCATCCTGGGGAATAGTCTTGTGACTGACGCAGTGGGCTGGGACCAAGCTCGCTGTCCAGGCCTGTGCCAAACGCTTCTGCCTCACTGAGAGCACCACTGCAAGACTCTGTTCCCAGCATTATTTACATACCTGAACAGACATTTAAATATTATTTTGTGTGCTCCTGTGCATACATAATCTATTTTGCTCTTAATCAAGGTGGATTTAAGTCGGGGGCTTATTCAAGGTGTTAAGAGACAAGCTCTGGAAAATCTTCCTGCGTTGGCTGAGGATGATACAACTCAGTGTCTGCTGCCAAAGGCTATCCCTTATCCCCCAAATTATATTAGTGTCAGCCACTTCAGCATAAAATCCAGGTCTTTAGCACAAACCTGCCTTCAAAGAGCTGAAATTACTTGCCTTGATTTTGTCTCAAAGCAGGGGAGAAGCAGGCAGGTTCTCCTGTCTGTGCCGTGTCTGTGGGAGGTGACCTCCAGCACAGAGACAAGCAGAGGAGGAGGAGGAGGAGGAGGAAGAGGATTAATGCCATCTTCAACAACTGAAGGGAGAGCAGCACATTTACACTTTCTGCCAGGGTATTTGCACCTGCAGGAACAAGGCATCCCTCATGTAGCTTTACCCCAAATTAGATAACCTGTCCTTCCTCTGAATGAGAAGTTTGTACCTGGGTGGAGTTCAATAAATAAATAAAATAATATTCATGTTCCAGGACCACAAACTGAAATTTCGTCATGAAAGGACATCCAGAATTTCACTCAGTACATGTAAAAATGGAAATGCAACAGATTCAAAGCTTGTCAGAAAATAGAATTTTGATGTGTACAGAGAGGTGACATCTTTGCATCACCTTGTTTTGGTGTTTCAGTGAAACAGACAGTTTGAGTCACGCCAACTTATTTTCTTTATTTAACAGAATCACAGAATCATTTAAGTTGGAAAAGAACTTTGAATCCAGGTGTAAACCCAACAGTGCCAAGCCCACCATTAAACCATGTCCCTAAGCTCCATGCCTGGAATCTTTCATGCTTCCCTGACAAGCAATGTACACCTGTTAATACTTTTCCTTGGTCTCAGTAGTCACTTTTTTTTTTTAAGGAATTATCCCTGGAGTACAGTTTCATATCAAAAGATGTGATTTGCACAATGGTACACAAGTGGTTCGCACATTTTAATACACAGCCCACACTCTGAAGAACCTTAAGATTCCTTGCATTAAATAAGAGGCACAGTACTTCAAAATGAGGGTTTGTGGTAAACTTTTTTCTGGGTCACTGAGTAGCAACTGGGTGCTTTGAAAGCATCTTGCAGGAGCCAGGTAAGCTGTGGTTGAGCGATGCAGGTGTCCTACTGTGGTCAAATCAGAAAGACTTCTATCCTTAAGGCATTAAAGCCCTTACACCTGGTATCCTCATATCTTACTTCCAGTTAACAGGTGTAGAGCAATGTGGCTTTGTAGTGCCCAGTAATAATATCAGGAGTTGGCAGCAAGAGGCTCTGAGAGTCTTTGCAGAGTTTGCTGGAGCCCCACATCACTGTGAGCAGGAGAAATGGTTCAGTCACAGTGCTCAGAGCATCATCTCAGAAACAAAACTCCAAAGCCTGCATGGCCAGGGTGAGGATCAGCAAGGGAAGTTCTCTCTCACTCCTCAGTGTCTGCTTTGAGGACAGAGGTTGTGCTGACAGCTGTCCCCATCTGCAAAACCAAACCCCAAAGAGCTGCTGCCCCAAAGAGAACTTCAAACCCAGCTCTGAGCTTGATGCTTTGGCTCTCCAATTCACCTGCTTTTTGTTAAACAGCAATACTGTAACAGCACTTGCTTAAGCTCCAAGTAGAAGTGGTGTCAGTATTTCTGGTGTGAGACCATTGGTGTGGGGTTTAGAATTGTCCAGGACTTCCAAAGCAGCAGCGGAGTCCAAAGCACCCTGGTGCAGAAAGGAAAGCCCAGCCATGTACCTGGGTGAGACTTGAGTGTATTCTTTCAGCTCTGACACAAATCAACTGCAGGGCACTTTGACACATCCCAGCCTTTCAGAGTGTATTTTTTGAGCTCAGCTCATTATCTGAGCCTCCATTCAGATGCTCTCAGCACAGATGCCTTCCTCATCAGCTCTGCACTAAAACATACAGTAAGTGAAATTCTGCCATATGTTAATACATATGTTTCAGTTTCAATAAGCATTTGATGCAGGGCTGTTTTTATTTTTTTTTTTCCCAGGCAACAGAAATTACAGAGTTTATACTATTACCTTCCCTCTTTATTTAAATGTACTAGTGAGCTTAAATAAACTAATTAAAGTAAGGTTAGCTACGTGCAGCATAACCTGTCACAATGGTGGAATCATATATCGATTCTTAATGGTTCAGCATTTATCTGGTTGGTCCAAACCAGCTGGGGATGGCAGAGTCAAACTGTCTGAGAGTCTCTGTGATGTTGTAAAATGATGGAGAGGCAGATAGCCTGGAGAAAAGGTGTAACCGGGATTTTCACTTCATCTCCACCTCAAATTTTCCCATCTGGCGTATCACAACATAATGATGTGAGTGATGTCATCAAACTGGGAGAGAGGATCTGAATGGGGCAGTTTT